TTGTGTTCTTATGGTTTAAAATCGTTACAGGATCCCATGGAAATAAAAGTGATGTAAAATATCCAGTTTTGAGGTGAATGCAGAAAATCGAAACAGAATGGAAAAATGAATTTAAAATAATGTAAAATAATACGTAAGTAGTATAACACTACATTTTCCCCCCGACCCTGGAAAATTTTTGACTCAGCAAAAATTTTGATATATACATTCTAAAATAAACCATAAAAACACAGCTTTGCAGAAACATACATCACCAGGCAAAATCAGATATACCATCTCTTACATTCATCATCTGCCGTTCAGGTAAGGGTGGAGTTCACATTCAATGACTACCACTCTAAAAGTGTGTTTTCAAAACGACATTAAGGCTTATTTAAGGAGTAGTCATCCGCTCCTGCGTGGAAAAAAAATAAATTAGTCGAAGAAACACCACTCTTAAAAGTGTGTTTTCGAAAGGACATTCAGGCTTATTTAAGGAGTTGTCATCCGCTCCTGCGTGAAGATAAAGATAAAGAAATCAATCTTAAGCAAGCTTTAGTCGCTATGACTTAAGTAAAGATTAAGAACGGCCAGAGCGGTAGGGCTCAAAGCCAGAGATCAGCAACATCACTAGCGAGATGTGTCTGAAATAATAAAAAGTGAAGATTAACCTACCAAACAAACAAACAAATTAAAAGAAATAATAACAAGGTGAAAATGATGGTGATATTTATACATATATACAAATTAAATGTGATATTTATACATATATACAAATTAGCAGTTAATAAATGTTTAGATATTTATACATATATACAAATTAACAGTTAGTAAATGCTTAGAAAAGTTATGAATCGTCTCGCTTCAGCTTTGAAAAACAATTTTATATAAAGTGTAAAGTTTAAAGTTAAGTTTAAGAAATAAAGATTTAATTGAAAAGTTATACCTCTTTAAGTTACCTAGAATAAAAATATTAAAGTGATGGATGTAAGTAAAGTGTTAAATATAGGTCTAAATATAATCTAGATAAGTTGAAAAACTAGATGAAGTTTTGTTCTAGAATAAAATATTAAAGTGATGAATGTAAGTGAAGTGTTAAATGTAGGTCTAAATATAAGCCAGATACGTTGAAACACTAGATGAAGTGTTGTTTTAGAATTTGGAAGATATGAAAAGGATGAATAAATGAATGATGAATAATGAGTTAAGAACGAAAGGGAGAGCAATTAAATCAAAAGGGAATGGACAAGGCGCAGTAAAGGTGAAGAATTAAGAGAGAAAGAGGACTTTTACGTTGGGCGCCAAATGTCGTGAAGCGACAATTAAAAAAAAAAATAGAACCTAACCTAAGTACAACAAAACAACAAAAGTAGAGCCAGAAAACAATATATTTAAATTTATAAAAGGTATTTACAATTTTATAAAAAAATGGAATGAGGATGATGATGAATGAAGTGAGAGTACAATTAGATAATAAAAAAAAAATAATAAAGGTGAGAGAATAGGGGAATATAGTGTTGTAGTGGGGCCTAAAAGTCGAAGCGACACACGTTGCGTTTGTAGAAGTAGGTTTCTTAGCAGCGACGGCACGCAGCGCCTGAAGCCAGCACACGCCGTTTGCGCTTGTAGAGGTAGGTTTTCTTAGCAGCGACGGCGCGCAGCGCCTGGAGCCAGTACACGCAGCGTCCGGAGCCGGCGCACGTAGCGCCTGGAGAAGGGGCGCGCAACGCTTAGAGCCAGCATTTGCAGCGCCCAAAGGTAGCGCCGGCGGTAGGTGCACTCGGCGCCTGGAGTAAGTAGTAGTAGTGCCCGGAGTAGTGTGGCCCCCGCGCTTGTAGTAGACTCGAAGCGACTTCCGAGGTAGATGGAGGCTTGTAGGATTCCGGAGTGGCGCGGCCCGAGTTTTAAGAAGGCTTCGCCGAAGACTTCACGTGTAAATGGAGGCTTGCAGGATCCCGGGGCAGTGCGGCCCCGGGATAAGGCCTTTAGGAGATACTTCTAATTCGCGAACTGAAGCGAGACTGCCTTTCTTCACCGATTGTTCGGCTTTTATACCTTTCTAGAGAGAACGGAAAAATTATTTAAATTATACGCAAATTTTTTGTAAATGGTCAAGAGAAAAGAGGATTTATGTGGAATTATCGAAATAGGAATAACAGATCGGTAGCAAATTTGAATATAATTACCATGGAAACGATATAAATAAGAAAGACAAAACATGTCAAATTTTTGTTTTTGGTTTATAATAAGAAAACGGTAAGATTTAAGTGGAAAATGAGATAATATTGATATAGGAAAAAAGGTAGCGCAGCTGCCCACATAAAGCCCAAGATTGTAGAGTTACGGAAAACTAGCTAAAAGATCGAAAAAAGGTAGACTCCATTGACACCAATTTAAAAGTGCTGATAATGTGAAAATACGAAGTAGAAATGATTTGTTATTATGTTCTTATGGTTTAAAATCGTTACAGGATCCCATGGAAATAAAGGTGATGTAAAATATCCAGTTTTGAGGTGAATGCAGAAAATCGAAACAGAATGGAAAAATGAATTAAAAATAATGTAAAATAATACGTAAGTAGTATAACACTACAAGTTATAGCCTAAATAAGAATTTTTTTTTGGTTTTAGGCCATTTTGACCCCCTAGGCCTAAAACCAACCTAGACCCCATTACACTAATGAGAACTTTTTGCCTCTATTCAACCATGACCCACATGACATCCTCTACATGATAAACTATTCAAACTAACTATGCCTAAAATTCGAACCACACCGCAATTTTTTGGTTTTTGGCCATTTTGACCCCTAGGAGTGTAATGAGAACTTTTGCCTCTTTTCAACCATGACCCCCATGACATCCTCTACATGATAGGCTATTCAAACCGACTAGGCCTAAAGTTCGAGTCACCCCCCAACTCATTTCTAATCTTTACTTCCAAAAAAAACCAATGTTACTCTTTGTGTAATAACATTTGAATAAGAACATTTTAACTCAATAGAGATAGTTTATAAACATCACGAAATTGTTATTGCCATCAGTGCTTTTATTATTAATAGAATATTATTTACTTTTTCATTTAATTATACACAGAGCTTTTTAAATGTTACCATTAACAAAGCTTTGTTGCCAGTTGACCATCCATATTCTGAAAGGAACAAAACTGTCAATGTTTTAATTTTTTTTTTCTAGGTCACCAGTTTTTCTCTCACCGTGGTCAAATTCAGACTAGAAATTACATGAACATTCAAATCATTATCCTTAAAAATAACAATTAAGTTTAAATCAAAATTAAAATGAACATTTTCGTAACGGATATATATATACGTGAATGTTGGAGAATCCATTAGATAAAAGCTTTGCTGTCTTCTCCGGTGCGTAATTTATTTACGCAATCACTCTCACCTCCATATGTTTCAACCTTACGAGGCTTGAAAATTTATTTAGATTTTTTAAACGGGGTTATACATGCGTGGCGGGATGTTAAGTCGGTTTATTTAAGTCTATTTATAACAGTACGCACAGCTACGACAGGTATTAACATAAGTTTTAAATATTAACGTACATTCATAAAACATAACAACATTTTATTATACACTATAAGTCCTCCAATAATGACAAAAGAAGGAAATGTGTTGTTTCAGTAAGTGTCTAAAGATAATAATCAATCATTTTCAATAATTTTATTCATTTACTCTTCCAAAATACGAGTATGCATCATCATCATCGTCATTATTACAGCCCTTCACAAGTCCACTGCTGAACATAGGCCTCCCCCAAGGAATGCCACAAAGCACGGCCCTGAGCCACGCCGTTTTATTGGTGCTCCTTGAAAGCATATTATACACGTGTGGATAACACACTGTCCATGACAGTAAACATTTTTTTCCAAGGGTCATAAATATGCGAAAATATAACCTTCTGTTTTGTTTCACCTCTCCAGAGATTATTGGGATTTTATAAAATTTGTATTAAAATTCAACAAAAAGATTCACCTCATTCCAGCTAACGTGATTTTTGAATGTATAAAAAGAATATTATTTATTTTGGGAATGGCATGGTAAAAAATCAGTAATTTTTTATGTTATTCAGTTTCTTGTACGTTTCCTTAACACTTCTAATTGCAGTATTGTGGTCGCACTGTAATTATTTATCGAAATTCCTTATATGTACATCGCTAGTTAACGCATACAATAAGAAATTAAAATATATCACGCGTTTTCGAGCTGTAAGGTCGTCTATACGCCAGTGTATGCTATGTCTATGGAGCAAACGAGCATTTTGTTAAGAATTCTCTAACAATGTGCTTGGTAGGTACTATGTTTTATACACTAACTGCACTATACTATTTTTTCAACATGAACGGGGACAAACGAAACGCTTGACCGGGCAAGTACTGCTTTTCAGCGTGAAGTAACAACATAACGTTGCGTTATTTCGTACGGCGAATAACCAGTACCGAGAGAAGAAGGGTCATCTTTTCATTGGTAGCGGGGCGTGCCAATTTAGTTATCAGGGGTAAAATATGTTGTTTAATAGGTGGACTGTGTGCTCATTTGACAGTGCATAAATCACTTAAAACATTCGTATTAAAACAAAATATGGGTCAAACATATACGTTGTTATTAGATCGTTGCTAGTTGCGGAAGAAAATATTTATACAAATAAATAAAATTAAGGTGTCTGTCTGTAATATGGAAATAACTGGTTGTTTTAAGGTCAGGGTTATTGACCATTACCATTAAAACATAAATAACCAGATAAAACATTTTCGTTCGTCTGGATATAATCACCCTCTTACCTATCACTGCCATGCTGCCAAATAGCAGTGCTTGCACTGTTGTGTTTGAAGGTAAGGTAAATGTTGGCAGCAGGTGTCAATGGGTAGCAGTAGTCACTTACATCGTTGACTAACAATCGTTAGGAGAAGTTGATAAAAAGTTTTTTGTTAGCAATTTTTTTATCAACTAAAAAGTTATTATCCATGAACTTTGGATAAAGAAAGTTTAGTATCTGAAATGTATGAGAAGTAATGAGAACCAAGGCTTTTTGAATACAAAATATCCTATCTCAATACGAATTCACAGCAAGGTTACCTACATTTAAAGACATGAAATGAGAATATTTCGCAATTTTTTCTAACAGGGGAATCGTCAAAATACTGTATTTATGTAATTGAAAAAATAAATTGATAGTTGAAGATAAATTACAAAATATTTTTTAAAGGTTTTTTTATAGGATCGAGTGACAAACGAGCACTCAGTCCACCTGATGGTCACTTACCATTGCTGTGACCCATAGACATCTACATCTATCATCGTTTGCGAATCAAAATGCAGTTGTCACTCACGTTGTCACTCGTGAGAACTAAGATGGAATGCCTCTTATCCAGTAAAAAGGGTCTCCGGTTCTCTACACTCACCATACGAAACACAGCAGTGTTAAGCTGGTATTCTGTGAGAGCGTGGTCCTTCCCCGGTCGAGCCGACCCGTTCGTGCTACAACTATACTACTAATATAGCTGCAGCATAGCTCTACCACATATAAAATGATTTGTATAGGTTATAAGTTAAACTTATAGACGTGTATAGGTTATAAGTTAAACTTATAACCTATACACGTCCCATTGCTAGGCACAGCCTGTGCCGCACATGCCTCCTATCATTTTTGAGAGAGTTATAGAGCAATAATTGGTCTACTTTGTTGTTCCAGTGCATTTTTGTGGACTTCACATATCTTCGAAATACTTTAATTTCTTAGAGCAAGGAAATTTCTTCTGCGTTGCCAAAATATGCAATATGTCCGTTTAGGCGGATTTCACATTCGGTTTTTTTTTAAACTACTAACTACTACAACTAAAACTATCTTTTTACACTAAGATGACTTTATGGCGTAGAATTTAATATTAATTGTACGTATAAAGTAGCTGTGTGTAAACGTTGCATTTTTAAATAAAAAAATACGAAACAGATATTTATCGCAGAGAATATTTTACGTAGATGATTTAATTCATAATTTCGACTGTTAGAATATACAGCTGTGCAAGAAGAGTATAAAATTGGAAGTTTTAAGATATTTAGAACGCCGTATCAAAAATGGATTATTATTTTTAGTGTAACGAAATCCAACACAAATACGGAGCCCTTTTAATGTCACTCTACCGTTCTGTCCATCTGATCATCTGATCATCTGTCTGTCTGTCCAGCTGTCCATCTGTCCATCTGTCTGTCTGTTCGTCTGTTCGTCTACCCGTCTGTCGGTCTGTCTGTTTGTCCGTCTATCCATCCGTATTTCACGGATCTCTAGCTTGTAGACGGAATCAGTATCAGACCTAATATTAGGTTGGATATATCGTGTAGAATGGTGACCCAGAATCGAATATAGAAGTAGAAATTTTATTTATTGATTTTGGAACGAAGTTCCTTACCGCACGGTACGAATTTGACGGATGGGGTCTAGGTGAGAAAAATGTAAGATTTTACCGTTACGACCCCTTTCTGTAATGCGAGGGAGATGGAATAATATCCATGTCCCACGCACTTTTTCTTATCTTCCACGAAAGAAATATTATTTTAAATGACGCGTCATTTTAATAAACGCTAGTAATTCATTTATTTGTATTTGTTAATCAATAATATAATACTTTTATCAATAATAATATATTACGAAAGGAACTTTGTTCCAACCGAGTGTTCCACGACACTTGCTTACCTCATTAAGCAGAATACAAATATATTTTTTGTATTCAAAAATGGGTGTATGGGTAGGAATACATCGATAAAGTAGTTTGTAAGCCATGTCAAAACTAACAAACATTTTTTACCTTATTAAAATCTAGTTTTAAATAAAGTTAATTTGTCATAATATGTACGGAAACCTAAAAGAGTGAAGCCCAACTTGCATGCACTTGGCCGGTTTTAATCAACCATCTTTGTCTCAAATTTCCGGGAATGTTTAGATAAACTGTAACTTTAAAACTACTTTACTGTAACTTTTAAATGGAAAACTTGATTTCTTTAAGTCACGTTCAAACATGGTTTAACTAGGAGCAGAAGGAGAAATATTATTATAAGTTTACTAAGATGCTTCTACTTGCACGTATATTTTCGTGACTCATCTGATAATCTTTCAACTATATTTAAATATAACTTGTTTTACGGACTTTATAGCGTCTTATTTTATATTCCCGACGTTTCGAGTACTTTACAGCACCCATAGTCACGGGGGGACTGAGGTGTTTGACGTTCCAATGTCATAGTTAACCACGGCTACCTCCAGATTAAAAATTATAAATTTTTGTTCCGATCTACGCTGTATAAACTTACAGTATCTTGAAGTCTTGCAGTTGTATGCTTGGTTTGGGATTTAATTTTATTAATTATAGCATCCCAAGCAGATGGTAACACCCAGCCATCTTCTCTATTGAAATGAGGATGTTTTTTGATTTCAATAGCCTCGCGAATCACCCTTGGAAGGAATCGGTGTTCTTTAGGGAGGATTTGTGATCTCTCATATCTAATGTAGTAACGGGGGCAATCTGTACGTGTTCACAGACTGCAGTCTTCCCGGAGCGTCGATTCTTCACATCAGCTATGTGTTCTTTAACGCGGGTTTTATTAATCTTTTAGTTTGTCCTATATAAGAGAGACCACATTCACAATCAAGCTTGTACACTCCTGCATCTTGCAAAAGAACATTACACGGCATTATACGACCATATAGCTCGAAGAATCAACAGCCAATGAGAAAGAAAATTCCTCGAAAGGTAGCCTAGTACCCGTAAGCAAAGTGTAGGGCGGCCCCCTCCAGTCTACTTGATGCAGTCGCCTGTAGATACCTACACTTTTTGTCTATTAAGAATCAAAATGAAGATACCTTGTTACCCCTGTGAACTGAGATAACAAGCCTCGTTACAAGTATAAAGGGTATCAGGTTGTCAACACTCACAACAGCTTATAGCTTATATATTACGCTGGTATTCTGCGAGAGCGTGGCTCTTCCCGGTGGAGACGACCCATTCTTGCTACGACCATAACCTGTAACAATGCGGTAATAACTTTACTGTTATAGTTACAGCCTATTAAAGTCCACTGCTGAACATAGGCCTCCCGCATAGATTGCATCGTAGAGGGTATTTGCCATTGTTGCCACGCTTGGCAAGTGGGTTGGCAACCGCAGTTTTTTATTTTTAATTGTTATCAGATAAACGCGGCTGCCCATCTCCTGATTTGTTTCACTCTGTCGCCTTACGACACACACGGGATGACTTACACGGGGATGATATGTTGTAGTGGATACTCTTACACCGCCACTACATGGTACTAATAACTAATAACTTTACAAAACCTAAAAATATTTAAAACATATCGTAACCTATTTAATAAACTCAAGTAACTAACATATGAAAAAACCTAGCATTACAGAGGTAAGGTATCGATACTGCGAACCCTATAATGGGAGGTGCCCATTTCCAACAATAAATTTTCCTAGATATGGTAATTATTCTCTTTCACGGACAAATTAAGGAAATAAAAAAGTATTGTATGTTCGTTTTTCGAGAGTTCAAGTTCTAGTAGCAGTTTGCTTTGCTAGTTGCGCTTCGCCGCATTCAACTTATTTCTCTGCTTCAGGCGCTGTCGAGTTTGAAATGAAAGACCACCTTCATGAATAAGTTCTCATTTCAATTAAGTTTTCCTTCTTAACTTACTTTTGTGTTGCAGAAACAGTTCGTTAAATTACTGAGCAATCATGTTTTATATTAATTTATAGAAAAATATCAATAATAACCTTCAACAAAATAATGCAAAAGATATAAATGATGTAAATAATTTTGATTAACGTAAAAAATTAAATAATTCACTTAGAAAATACAAAATAATCCTTATTAATATAATGTATATTTTATGTTTGTTATAGTATTATCTTAATTCAGCATAATCTTAATCCATTGAACCAGTGAAGAACATAAGTATATAACAACGATATATTATAAATAATGTATTATTAATAATGAAAAAACAACAGAAATGCATAAACATAAAGAAAAAAAAATCAATTACAATAACTAAAAAGACACTGTTGGAAAGTCGATACTATCTGTATCCATCGAAGGAATATTAATTTAAAATAACATTGTTCCATTCAAATATATATTGTTTCTTTGGTATAATCTTGTAAAACCTAAATGATAATTAAAATAAATTATCAAAAAGGCAAGAAAGATTCAGTGACGGCGTATTATTGTTAGCTAACTTCCGCAAAGCCAATTAGTATATTAGCATACTGCATATATGTGTCTTTACCCTTTTGTTTTTGACATATCACGCATTAGAACTAAAGGGTTTGCCTCATCGTTCATAATGCGGACAGCAAAGGAGTAGAATAATCTGCCACCACCTGTCTTTTCATCAGATTATAATGTGGGTGTTTTCAAGGCAAGAGTGAATAGGATTTTGTTAGGAAAATAAAAAAAATAATTAAAAAATTCAGCATGGTGATTTATTGTGGACATAAAGTGCCACAAAAAATTATAGATAACATAATATAAAACACATAATATAATACATCCTAAAAATTAAAAAGCTCCCTTCAAAAAATTGGTATGCACACTACGCTATCCACAACGGGGCTTTAGGGATCCAAAAGAACGAACATAAAAAGAATGTTATAAACAGATGGGTTTATAACTTTCTTTCGACATTAAAAAACAATACTACGAGATCATCTTTACATTATGAATGACAAACACTAATAAAAGGCAAATTTATCTATTTATTTTAAATAAAGTATTACATTATATTGAAATATTATATTCCATAATATTGAAATATCGTCCACCGAAGAAATACAGAAAATATATGAAAAAGGTAAACTTAGTGCGCATATTTCTAACGAAAAATAATTTACGTTAATTTAATATAACGTTAAAATGATCTTTTCTCTTTTGTAGCTACAATTTATTTCTAAACCTAATACATCTTAGGGCACCCATAGTTATCCAGGGCTTTAAAGTTCGCTTGGAGCTGGACACTGAGACAACTTTAGTGTTTTGGAGGAGGGATGTCCTAATCAGGTCTATCATCGCGTCAGCTAGAATGTTTGGGTCTCTATGTGCACTAAGAAGAGATATATCTATATCTACAAGGTGCTTATACGTATTCTCCCAATTTGCTATGGTTTTATATTTGACACAAGCCTTGTTTTGGTGTTTGTGGGATATATTTAATAATACCATTGCATGATCCGTAACAGACGTGTTTAGGACAGCCACAAAAGCCGAGTTATTTAATTTGTCTAGCTTAACACTTTCGCTGTCCCGTGCACTACATATAGGTCATTGCTATTGTGTCTGAAAACCGGACAGTGAAAGTGTTAAGCAGCATGTGAATCAGGCAGTTCTCTTCCCTTGTAGGCAAACAGTGTCCTGGGAGGAAACCATGTATAGCCGTCATGTTTAAATACGTTAATCTGTTAGTTCTCATTTGTGCTGATTCTGACGGCTTTCCTATTAGGTTAATATTTATGTCTCCAGTTACGTATGGTTATACGTTACAAACAGTATCAAATCAACTTTAGTAATATAGTATATCTTAGTAAAAATCGATAAATCGTATCATATTTGGCACCTGTATTTTTACGTCACTAATTATTGTCACTTGACACTTGTCACCTTGTCAGTCTCTCATTCTCTCACTCTGTCAATTACATTGGCGTCGCTCGCTCTTCATATTGTATCGGTGTGTTTTGGTTACTAGTCGTGTTTTATAGTCACGCTGTTCAAGCGAAAATTGGTTAAAAACGTGTTAAATAAAGTTGGTTAAAATAAAAATGGTTCATGAATAGTTAAATGTTTTAGGATGTTGTTTTTCATTTTCTTAAAAATCACTCTGATCTATGATAAAACCATAATATTCGTGGTTCGATTATAACCTCAAAATCTGTTACTATTTTGGAAATATATCTATTCTGCAGTTAGTCCGCTATAAAAATAAGATCATATAGGAATTTGCAATGGTCGACAATACAACACATAATTTTCCGATGTTCTTGGTTCCAGGGCGGACAATGTATGGACGCAGAGCAACGTCCTCTCAGCTTCAGAAAAGTGCTGACATCGGGCTGCGGCTCTAGATTACTGACTTATGGCATGAAAACCATTCAAAAACGCTGAAACTGAACCTACAAGCGGTGCGAGAATTTCAGCTCTGCACTCACAAACTCGCTTGCACAACGCACATAAATGAGTGCATCCTTGGCCTTTATCGACAAGTGATCCTAAAAGACTGTTGACGATAATGATAATGTACGAGTATATATATTTTAGCTTTTTACACTCCTTCTCCTTATAAACTTAAATATGCCAAATCTCACACACCTCCGTGCATACAATGCGCTTAAAAAATATTCAAAATTTCTAAAATAAGCTTAAATGAAATACGATAAAGTCCGTAAAATTAGTTTATTAACATGTTTCTTCACCAGCTCGTAAACATTTCCCTACTAGATAAATTAATAAGTCTCAATTCAATGTAATAAACATTGAATTGAGACTTATTAATTTATCGAGTACTAAAATTTTATAAATATAATAAGATACTGGTTAATTCTTGATTGGACTAAATTTTAGTATTCGTAAACGTAGAAGTTTGAAATGAATTTGGTGCTTAAGTCAAAGTTTCAGCTCTGGTGTAATCCGAAAGCATTTGGATGTGTGCAGTCTAGCGAACAGAAACTGCGGTCATGTAGATTTTCAAACTTCTTGGGAGATTTTGTCATCAATTTGCATGTGAAATCATGAATTTGCAAAAGTTAAGCTTATTTTTAATTTCTCACAAAGTTATTTTAATTGGATTTATATAGTATGTAGTATTTTCGTAGTCGTTGTAGAAGCATGCTACACATTCATTATGGTTGTTGAACAAATGGGTCGGCTCGGCCGGGGAAGGACCATGCTTAGAGAATACCAGCGCAAAATAGCAGCTTAATGCTGCTGTGGTGAGTACTGGAGATCCTTTTCACTGGAAACGAGACATTCTCTCTTGAGTTCATTTGTCACCCTTAATTTATAAAACAATATAAGAAATCATTACATAAAAATTGCTTATTTTAAATCTGCTTAAAGTTGCTAGAACAAATTTGTATTTGAAATAAATATTGGAAAAAGACACATCCTCTTGTTTCTAATACCAGTTTCGTCAACTAGGACTTTAACCAAGTAATGTATTTTGTGTCTAAAAAAGACGACATAAAATGGTGACTTTACCTTATTATCATCATCATCATCATTACCATTACAGCACTTCACAATACCACTGCTGAGCATAGGCCTCCCCCAAGGAATGATACAAAGCACGGTCCTGAGCCACATGCATCCACGGAGTTATTGCATATGTCCGTCGTCACTCCATCTAGCGAGGGCATAGTAGTAGTGTAGTGCTATGCCTGCCGGTACGAGGCTGCCACTAAAGAACCATTATTCCCCAACGGATTAGTAAGCTGAAGTGGCAATGGGTCGGCCATATTGCTCGGTGAACCGACAACCGACTTTACATTAACCTAGCATTAATTGTACCTATTTTCTGAGTTGAACAAAATCCCCCCAGAAATCAAGTTAAGTAAATGAATTTATTAATGTTAATTCTATAATATACTACGGTTTTATTTTAACTAAATGTTTCTTCTAAATTACTGTATAAAAAGACCGTCACATTTTATTTTTAGTGTTCAATATGTTTTACTTAGGACGCGGGGTGAGTTGTAGCATGCATTGATTGAACGGGTAACCTAAATTTGTTGCCTTTGATCGTATAACGTGATCCAAGAAATTTTGGCTCAACTCCAGATGACTTTCTTCAGGTTTATTTCATTTTTCGTACACAGTTTATATTACACAGAGTTTATAGTACACAGAACACAGAGTTTATAGTACACAGATTAATCCCAATTGTATTCAATATGTTAATTTTGGGCGAAAAAGTTTTGTTACCAAAAATTTAAAAAAAAAAAAACATCTGACAACAAAAAGTATGATGTGTCAAAAGGTGCTACAATTGGCTACAGCCGCCAATCCCCTTGTCAAGTATGGAGAATATTCCAAATTTTTAATAATTTATTATACTTGTTTACGCGAATATACACATTGAATAAAGTCGGGAATTAAAAATAAGTAAATTAATGCGATAAAATCCGTAAAATAGTTTTATTCAGTTCCAAATTCTTGTTTATTTATTATTAACGTTCAGTTAAGAAAATTGACAATTGATTATCAATCTTATTTCTTCAATCTATATTATAATTAAACTCTAACATGACGTCTGTCTGAACACAACTAAAGCTTTTTTATTATAGGAAAAGAATTTGGGTCCCGCGCAAAAAAATGAAAGGTCATGAATTCCAATCGCAATAAATTCCACGAGGGTGAAGTCGCGGGGAACAGCTAGATTAAAATAATTCTTTAAAGATTTGTGGATACCAAACTTGAATCCCAGTCAATGCAAAATATTCGTACACAAATACAAATTGTCAGAATTGCAACAAAACTTTAATTATACATATTCAAAATATAGTGACATGGATATTGGTGTGCGATTTTTTAAACAGTTGCTAGCTCTCAAACGTATTAAGACACATTCTAGAGTGAAGATTTATGACTTTTTCTTTCAATCAAAACGAAAATTTGCATAATTACTAAGCTCTCATCGTTAAACCGCAGAATCGCATTAGCGATTACGTCAGAACCAACAATCCTACAATACAAAATACATTATTTATTCACAAGCCTTTGATACAAATGATACAGATTGCCAGTCGCAGTAATTACTGCAAATACGCCATTTACGGTTTAAGAGGTCTCGTATTACAATTAGAAAGTTGTCATTTAATATTTATTAAACATATGATTATAAGTGTAAATTAACATTAAAATTAAGTGAAGTGAGTGCCTATAAACATACTTGTTACTTAGGATCCTCTCGTTAAAGATCAAACAAAATTAGTATTTTATTTTATTTATTTATTTATTCTTTTTTACATCTACCTTATAATAAGGGATATAAAGGGCGGACTTTATGTCTTGTGGCATTCTCTACCAGTCAACCCTGGATGATTTGAGAGGCTGTGGTAGGTGCAACACCACTCATAAATTAAGTCGTATAGTAGTATGTCAGTAATGAAACACCGGGTTCTCATCACTCACTTTTATTAAACTATTACAATTATTATCAGTTATCATTCACCTTAAAAATCTGACACAGGGACTTCTAGATGTGAAATGACCGCGCATGGCAGGCAGTGTAATAATGGCAGTAAAATCTGTTTCGCGCCATTGACGCCGCTAGATCGAGTATTTAAAGCTTTCGTTATAAGGCGCTTGAGAGACGAAGGCCGCGCGCTAAAAAGGGTTTTCTGAAAAGCTAAGACAGTGTACAAGCAAATATAAAACTAAGCAGAAAATTCGGACTCATTTTCTATAAATAATTCAAAATCATTGATTTGTCATCGATGTTGCTTTTTTATTTATTTTTTTGTTTTATTAAATAATCATTAAGCATGTTATATTAGGTACATAATATATTTATATATATATTTCTATGATAATTATAATATATTGTATATATTTAAAACATCTATTTATTAAAATATGTATATGTCGGAAGTATAGTGGGTATAGTACAGAGACTAATTTTGTAGTTAGGAATAATAATTAATTCGTTTACACGAATTAATTATCCAATGAGTCGAGGATAAACTAGTAACGGAATACGACAAGTGTACCGTTCCACGTCAGAGCCAAGACTGTCTTAACGGCGGCCGCTCAGTCCGTTTTATACAAGCAGGACGGGCGGTAACGCAGGTGCGATGCCGCAGGTGTGCGGTACACGTGTCGTTTACAAGAATTCTGTCTTGCTAGACCGACGCCACCGCATCTACAACGGTGCAGGTGCCGTCACGGCCATACTGACATGCGTGCGTCCTCGCACGCGATCCATTACAATTTTAGTTATCTGTAACAACTGTAATCTGTAAAACATCGTTCGATTATCCTGACAAAACAGCGTCTGGTCCGGTCTATACTGACCCTTCAGACTCTAGTGATAATCAGTTTTGTTCCGGCAATAAGCCCTACAAAACTTTTATCAACTTTATGCTAGATCGGAATGATTAGTCTGTAGCTTTTTCTATTTTCTCTTTTTTTTTTTCAAGTACTGTTTTCGCTAGTCCGGAATCACTATTCCCTATAGCTATATCACTGGATCGGCACAAAGCCCTGCAATGATTGTAAGAACTATTCTTTTTTCTTAATCTCTTTTTTTTCAGTACTATTTATGCTAGTCCAGAATCACTATTCCCTGTAGCTTTATCATTGGACCGGCAAACGCCCTGCAATGATAGTAAGAACCACATTTTTTTTCTTACTCTCTTTTTTTTTCAATTCAGTATAGAACAGTTACAGACCAATCATACCGCAAACATGTCCCCGTCACAATCACACAAAAGTATATCGTGAGGGACGTAGTGACACGATAACACCCAAGTATGTAAACCAATAGCAACACGACACATATCCCAGTGCAGCACAGACCAGCCTCCCTGCAACTTCATGTTCCTTTCCTGCACTAGAATAATTACTTCGCTAGAGTTTTGCAACGTCTCTAGTATTTTCTAGATGCACAGACACGGCTACCTCTGACAGTCGCACGTCCTCGTGCGGTTGACAGTGAACAGCATACGGTCTATCAGTTATCACCACCTGCTAACAGATATTAACTCTTGTTAAATATTACAACGGTCGACCATCCCAGACTTCATTTAAGTCATGGACGCGCTGATATGGCCACCTCCAGGCAAACGCACTCCAACTTTCCGTTCTGCTGCGTTCGTGCCACATTCGCGCTAGCAAGCCGTCGCGCCGTAATGGCGCTAGCGAATCGTCGCACTGCTTTGCAAAATTAAAAATTAAGAGAAATGGAGATAAATGTATTACGAACCATGGAATTCCAAGATTCTCTTAAGAAACGGCAACTGTATGCCATTTGAAAACATTGCAAAAAAGGGAAACTATGTGTAGAGACAAATACCATCACATATTTCAAAGGGAAGGAGGCAATTGCGCATAATCTACGAATGCCGACCAAGCCTCAGACGTTCATTTACAGCACCAAAGGACCATGTGTTCGGCGGCCGCTTGAATTGTCTTGCCGTAAGATCTGCCGATAAGTTACAGACTGTAGCGGTGTAGGTTCAATCTTACTAGCGCTCGGCCGTACCTGACCATGTTCGATTAGCCGTCACAACAACTTCCTCATTGATCATTGTTGTAGAGAGACTTCTACGAATCTGTCGACATCAAACCCCAATCTTGTCGACCACACAGTATTCGGAGCAAACTGCAACACTGATCAACACATTAGAACACAAAAATGTCACTTATTATTTTCAATCCATAGCGTGTTAAAGTTAATCCTTTATTGTAGTACAACCCTTAAACGTTTTGAATTTCAAAATATAACTGATGATAATCATGTTTCGCATGAACTATCAAATTACAACAAAACGAGAGCAGCAGGAGCACCTGAGGGTTTACAAGCATCGTCGGGGTTGTAGTCATCATGATCTGCGTGAAAAACAAATTGTTAACTATAAGGACAACATACACAGTTGCCTGTTCTCTCATCTATCACACATACGAGGCCCTAAAACAGGAATTCGTTCTCATACCTTGGACTATAATAAAGCACTTCGCTTTCACAAGTAAACATAGGTCTTCATACGAAGTATCTGACACATACTCTTACTTGAACTTGCGAGATCCCACGTTAACTACGTGAACCACATTAAAAACGTGAACCAGGACAGCGCCTGCCAGTACAGAGCCTAATACATGTTCAGAAAACATTACCGTGCACACAGCATACGACTTCCGCGCACACAGTGTGACTCCCGCGCATACAGAGTACACGACTTCCGAGGCATCGCTATGTACAGCATACGCGCGCTCCGGGATGGCGCCTGCGTATACGCGCATACGCATCTGCTGAAACCAGGCCATGTTACAGCTGGACCTGGCAGTCCGTTACGACCAGCAAGGCACACACTCACGCACTTGTAATCACATCACACGTGCTACTGTAACACATAAAAGAAAACATTAAAAATACTCAGTCGGAACTTGATTTCAAGAAATGCAGCACTACTCTTGGTACACCATTCGCCTTTCTAGGGCACTAAATACTGAGCTGCGGCTACACGACAACCTCTGGTATGGTCCGATCCTCATGTAAACTTAAATACTCTCTTCAATGTCAGAACCAATTGGCTCTACTTCACTTTCATCAGTTATACTTCGGTTTTCCGGCATTTTTCGCAACCAATTAAAAATGTAAACACTCATTCTTACAAAATAATTTCTGAGCCAATGTTTAGGATAAATTTACTTTCCTCATGTATCTAATGGTGATCAGTAGCAGCGACAAATAATAAGTCCGCGGCGTCATAAGCCGACAGCATACTAAAAGGCGAGCGCTACTGCTCCACGCTTTCCACTAAACCATTCCAAGTTTTTCGACTACGTAATGCTCGGAGTAAACTGTAACACTTATCATCACATTAGATCACAAAAATACTACTTAGTGTTTTTAAGTCATAGCACGTTAAAGTAATCATGTTCTTTTTTTCGGTACATCGTTTAAACATTTTGAACTTTAAAACTAGGCCATGTAAATCACACCTCGTGTATCAAATTATAACATTACTTGAGCAAGTTAAACTTCCACTGAATGCAAACTATAACTCATTCAGAATATCTCCAACATTTCTTTCATTTGTTAACATACTCGTATTTAGGTTTAACGGTGGTAGAGCCCTGCAGCAGTTTTTTGCTGTTGCACGTATGGGCCGGCTCGAGCCGGGTTGGTACCACGACCTCACAGAATACCGGCGTGAAGTAGAGGCTCTGCTTCTGCGTTTCGTCTGGTGAGTGCAGGTGGCCGGAGGCCCAATCCCCCCCCCCCCATCAACATGGTAGCGGAATTAGACAATAGACTACCCCAGGAGGGTACCAGTACCCCTGGAGAATCCCTCGCTGAGCATCCACGACCATGTTATTCCAATCCTGAGCGTGGGTGCTCAGGCTGCCCCGCGTATTCTGGGGGGGGCAAAATTCCGCTCAAAAACAAAACTGCTCGGGGCAAGCTGAGCAACAATACCAAGGCGACCCCTGCCACGCTATCCGTGAATTTCTGCAACATCAGGGGACTTCACTCTAACCTAAACGCCGTCCACTACCATCTCGAGACGGCGAAGCCGGCCTTGCTCTTTTTGACCGAGACGCAGGTTTCCTCTCCGACTGATATTTCGTATCTCTCCTACCCGGGGTACAAATTGGAGCACTCCTTTGTGCCTCGGGCTGGAGTTTGCGTGTATGTTAGAGAGGACATCTGTTCTCGACGCCTCGGCAGTCTTGAAGGTTCGGACCTGTCCATCCTTTGGCTACGCGTAGACAGCGACGACCATCCGCGCGTCTACGGGTGCCTCTATAGGTCCCATAGCGGTAATGCCGAAACAGACCGACTCATCGACCACGTCCAAATGGCTACAGATTCCTTGCTACAACAGGTCCCATCCGCAGAGATCGTGATCCTTGGCGATTTTAACGCCCACCATGCCGAATGGCTCGGTTCACGTTTAACCGATCATGCGGGGAGATCTGTTTATGACTTTGCCTTGGCATATGGTCTGACACAACTGGTTACTTCGCCTACGCGGATTCCAAATGTGGAGGATCATACACCTTCCCTGTTGGACCTTCTGCTGACCTCTCATCCGGACGGATATCAGGTTTCCGTCGATGCCCCTCTCGGCTCTTCGGACCATTGTCTGATCCGGAGTATGGTGCCACTCACGCTCCCTTCGCGGTTGCGTTCTGCAGGTTGCCGCCGTGTTTGGCATTACAGGTCGGCGGATTGGGACGGAATGCGGTCTTTCTTTGCATCCTACCCATGGGGGCGGGTTTGCTTCTCGCCGGATGATCCCAGTGCAGTTGCTGACTCTGTCACTGATGTGGTGCTACAGGGAATGGAACTATTTATTCCATCATCTGTGGTACCCATCGGAGGCAGATCTCAGCCTTGGTTTGGTCGCTCCTGTAAGACTGCATTGCGCAGTAAGCAGGAGTGTTATCAAGCCTGGGCTGCGGCTTCGGTGACTCGGGATGTAAACTCCAGCACACTTAAAAAGTAGTATAACTTCGCCTCCAGGTCCTTCAAAAGAGTTATTGCCAAGGCAAAGTTAGAGCACATAGGCAGAATTGGCGAGAAACTAGTTCGCCTTCCTTCGGGAACCCGTGCATTCTGGTCTCTCGCCAAGGCTGTCCAAGGGAATTTCTGTAAGCCATCACTACCATCTCTGCACAGGGAGGACGACTCACTGGCCCAAGACGCAAAAGACAAAGCCGACCTTTTAGGCTCCCTTTTTGCGTCCAACTCGACTCTTGATGACGGGGGGAAAATACCGCCGACCATCCCGCGGTGTGAGTGCTCCATGCCGGATGTGCTATTCTCACAGCGCTCAGTTCGCAAAGCACTTCTCTCCCTGGACATCCAGAAGTCGAGTGGGCCTGACGGAATCCCCCCAATTGTGCTGAGGACGTGTGCTCCGGAGTTGGCACCGGTCCTAACGCGTCTTTTCCGGTACTCCTACTCCCATGGCGTAGTCCCGAATTCATGGAAGACAGCTTTTGTCCACCCGATCCCTAAAAAAGGCGACCGCTCAGACCCGTCCAACTATAGGCCTATCGCGATCACCTCCTTGTTCTCCAAAATAATGGAATCCATTATTAACTGCCAGCTCATCCGGTACCTTGAGGATCACCAGCTGATTAGTGACCGCCAATACGGTTTTCGTCGGTGTCGATCAGCTGGTGATCTTCTGGTCTACCTGACCCATAGATGGGCGGAGGCAGTAGAGTCCAAGGGGGAGGCGTTGGCCGTTAGTCTGGACATTGCGAAGGCCTTTGATCGGGTTTGGCACAAAGCGCTTCTTTCGAAGCTGCCTTCCTATGGGCTTCCCGAGAAATTGTGCAATTGGATCACCAGCTTTCTTGCAGATCGGAGCATCAAGGTCGTTGTAGACGGTGCATGTTCTGACTACAAGCCTATTAACGCTGGTGTTCCACAAGGCTGTGTGCTATCACCAACGCTGTTTCTTCTGCATATCAATGATATGTTGCTAACTGGTAACATTCATTGCTATGCGGATGACAGCACTGGTGATGCTCTATACACCGGCCGGGCCAATATTTCTCGGGAAAACGTCGCCGAGTACCGGAACAAACTTGTTTCTGAAGTCGAGTCTTTGCTGGACAAAGTCTCGGATTGGGGGCGACTAAATCTAGTCCAGTTTAATCCTCAGAAGACACAAGTTTGCGCGTTTACCGCTAAAAAGAACCCCTTTGTCGTATCTCCTCAGTTTCAAGGCACTCCCCTTCTTGCCTCAGCCAGTATCGGTATC